ATTTATGTTAAGTAATACTGATTTAAAAACAAAAGGAAAAATTGCTATCAGGACCCATTTGTTTTATTTTTGAAAGTCGAGATGTTAATTCTTGACTAAATGTGGTTTAATATTAGAATAAAGCAGATGAAACTGTGTGATTGTCAGTAGCAAAATTATTGTTTTGTTAGTCGGGATTTTAACGCACGACTGATCAAGGTTTAGTACAAATTATAAAACCGAAAGTTTGAGAGTTGTTAATTTTTGCTAAATTATATTTGTATAATAGATTCAATTAATTTCAAGTAAGAGCAGATTTAAAAAGTAAACGTTAATTCATTTAATATGTATTACGTTAGTTATAATGGAAGCTAAATTGTAGTGGTCTTTACTTTAATTTAATTTGACGATGGATTTGTTTAATTAAGATTTGATATAATTGGGATGTCCTTTTTGTTTTATTCTTCGTTAGGTATTTAGTATGTATAATATCAATTAATCGAAGTAAGTTTAAGTAAAAGCTGATTACAAAACTTTTGATATGGCAGTGTGGAAGCAGTGCGTGCAGGATTATATTTTTGTAAGTCGGGCTTTTAATGCTCGGCTAATTAAGCCTTAATACTTTAGATTTGTTTACTCTCGTTAAGCATACATAACAATGGGTGTGTCGATTCGTCTTTTATCTTTCGCCAAAATTTTGATTTTTGCTGTTCCATATTTCTTGTTTCGCTTTTTGTGTGAAAGACTGAAATTCTATAAACCACCTATAAAAGGTCTTGTGAGTGAAGGAGTTGGTAAGTGTTAGAAAAAAAGTAAGAGAAAGTTGAGACGAGTAATGATATGCTAACCATACGGAAAACAACAATTAAGCTTAAGTAAAAGAGCCAAAAAAGGGTATTTTAAGAGATGGAAAAAACATCAATTGACCCTGATCAAGTTAAATTTTTATAACAATGTTTATTCAATTAATTCTGAGTAAAAATTAAAGGATTGTAATCAGGGGTGGGCGCAAGAGGCAATCGTGAAAAACGCAACGCAAGGCCAAAAATCAACGCAAAACGCAAGAACGCAAAATTCTGAAAAAAATTTTAAATCGAGTATTAGCCATTTTTCAGTTAAAATAGAAGTATAAGTCAGCGAGTCCTAGTTGATCTTGTGATACAATTAAGTTGGATGGGTAATGATTTGAAGGGGATACAATGGGATTATGAAGGATATTAGAGGATTTAGAGCGATTATGAAGGAGGGATCGAGGAAAATTGGAGGGATCAAGGAAATTTAAAAAGATACCATGCGATTACTGATGAATGTCGGATGGGTTGGGGAGTAGCGGAGGATAAATGCCTATCTGTAATTCTCAATTGATACCGTGGATATCATGGGATTTGGAGGGATAAAGGGAGATCGGAGCTCAAGATATTGAACTGATATTTTTCTGAGCAGTTCCATGATCTACTTTTAGCGCCGCAGGCGAAAATTTTGAGAATTTTGGAAAGTCATAAGCCTGATTTCCTCAAGATTTTGCCCTCAGATTGGGTATATTTCTTGCGGTTTTTTGCGTTAATTTTGGCCAAATTTACGCAAAACGCAACGCAAGGCCAAAAATCAACGCAAAACGCAATGCGCCCACCCATGATTGTAATACGTATAGACACTCCTTTTTGTCAAGTTTGAAAGTCGGGCTTTAACGCACGATTAATTAGTTATTTTAATGTAGTTGAATTTCGATGTATAATTAAAAGGATGGGAGTTTAGTCTATAATATTAATTAATTTACTTAATTTTAAATAAAAGTAGATTTAAAAAAACAAAAATCTCGTAATAAAATTGCCCAGAATAGTGTTATTTTTGAAAGTCAAGTTTTATTCTTGACTAATTGTGATTTTAACATGTTATTTTAAGTTTGCCTGGTATACTCTATAAAATTAAAAGTTTGGGGTCGGTTTCTTGTTTAATCCATTTATATGAATTTGTTAAGTGTCGTGAACATAATATTAATTAATTCTTCTTTTTTGGTTAATTTTTGGTTAATCCAAATTTTAAAAACTAGGATTTCTATCTTGAGTTTTAGCTTTTTAATTCTTGTTGTTAAATTTGCATAATATTATTTAATACAATTAATTTTGTGTAGAAGTTAAGTGACAAATATCGATATCAGTCCAATCCATCGATCTGATTATATTTTTGCAAGTCAAGTTTCAACTTGGCTAAGTTATCTTTTATTATGACATTTAAGTTTGTTTTTTGTATACCATAGATAGCTTAGTGTTTAAAGGTTTGTACATTTGACCTTAAAAGTCAGTGTTCCATTTGACTTTAAGCGTGTGTACCATTAACCTTCCAAAATTTACAAAATTTTTGTCTGCCACGTTGAAAAAGGCCATAAGTTTATACCTTGATATATCGTTCCCTTAATATCCTATCACTCACCTTCATTCAAGTTCACCAACTGCCAAAAACTTTTAGAGGATCATGAATAATAATATAAATAATTTCTCACAATTTTTCCGTTTGTTTTTGTCTATCACTTGTGAAAAACAAAAAGTGCAAACGTCTGAACATTAAAAAGTATTTAAATATGCAGGTTTAAACTTTTTTAAATAAATAGGAAAGGTAATTAAAATTGTACTTATTGTTTACTCGAGAAAAAAAACAAAAAAGTATATAGAAATTTACTATAGTATAATTAGTCTTTAATCCCTAAAAATAGTTATAGTAGAGAAGTTAGACGTTTATATAACTTTTTTGCTATTGTCAAGTCAAATTTGCATAATATTAATTAATTCAATTAATTGTTGTAAAATTGAATCCAAAAGCCTATGCATTCTTTGTATGAGCTATTCCAATAATATTTATATTTTTGTAAGTCGGGCATTTATTCTCGACTAATTAATGTTTGCTTTGCTTAAGTTTACATCCATTATAATTTGATTAATGATCACGGTTGGGAGTTGATTTTTTGTTTATTTTTTAGGCAATTGCTATTTGCATAATATCAATTAATTCAATAAGTTTTAGGTAAGAGAAGGATTAAATACTTGAAATTCATGCATCGCTTCGAGTACAATATTCTTTTTTTATTTTTGTGAGTCGATTATTATTTCGACTAAATAATGTTTAATAATTCTGTTTATTTTGTAAGGCCCCTTTGCTTATAATTCGATTTTTAAATAAACATAACATTTTCCAAAGTTTGAATCATGTAAAAAATTCAGCACACCCCTTATTTTTATTATTGTCTTCTTTTTCTATTTAAATAAATTTTTTTTGCACATTTTTACAATATTTTCAATTTATTATTTTTGTCCTTTTAGTACTTTTAGTTTTTTTTTCTATTTTTACTAAAAAGTATTTGTACTATATAAAATGCCCTTTTTGCCCCTTCACTTGTTCCCTTTTAGTTTCCGCCCTTTCTCCTTTTTTAATTCCAGCCAGCCGTCGACCCGGTCGTCCCGCCAACACAGACGCGACACACACACTTTTCTCTCAAGAGTAGAAAAAAACGAGCAAAACAACAAAAAAATTTTGCTTGAAAGACCACAGAAGAAGGCCAAAATTCTCCTCCCGACAATTCTTTTATTTTTTTATTTTTTCTATTTTTTTAATGCTGACAGCCTTCATTAAGCTCTGCACTCTATATTTTAATATATTTTCCTTCCTCTATAGGTTATATTTATGTCTGGGCCAAAATAAGAAAAAAAAGAAAAAATAAGTGTGCGCAAATAATTTTGGCGTTTTTGGAATTATTTTTTATTTTGTTGGCGTTTTGTATTTTTCACCTAGCCTACCTAGAAAATTTCTCATTTTATTGACAAAATGCTAAAAAACAGCCAAAAATTTTATTTTTGCCTATTTTCCGCAAAACGCAAAATTTTGGCGCACACCCATCTTTTTAGATGTTGTTTTCTTCTTCGTTTGTCATTTTTGTCTCGAGAATGAGACCAACCACCACAGCCAACCACACACAGACAGACTTTTTTACTTCCTTCTTTTTCATTCTTTTTTCTATTTTTTAACATTCTCGGTAAAAAAAAAGAAAAATACAAAAAAAAACTAAAAATGCAAAATTGGCCGGCTAAAAAGATAAGACTCAAGTGTACCGTGTCTCTGAATATTTTTCGGATTATTTTTATTAATTTTGAACAATAACAAGTATTTTACCCTATTTTCCATTTCCATTCACTTTTACATTTTGTCCCATTTAGTGTTTCAACTGAACCGAAATTTTGACCGGAACCGGATCCAATTTGAGTTCCGGGTCCCGGAACCGGAACCAAAAAAGCACCGGGACTTTCCGGAGCCGGAACCGGAACTTTCAATAAAATCTATTCCCATTACACTTCGCCCCATTTCGTCATGTGCTCATTTCGACACATTGTGAAAAATCAGTTATTAGTCTCTGACTATTTCCTCTATTCTTACAGTACGTATTTTAATATTACCATTTTTTACTTCCCCCACGTCTTCCTGGATTTGTTTTTCAAGTATTACTTATTAAAAAACAAAAAAATTTGTCTGATCTCTATTATTATTTTCTAAATTTGTTCTCTATTTTTGTTATTTTTGCAAACCACCCACGCATTATTAGTGCTCTGTTTGCTTTTGTTCCTTTCATACTACCATGTTCCTCATCCTCTCGTGTTCCCTTCACCCTACTTTTTACTTTTTTCTCTTAAAGAGAGTTGGCAATTCCTGTGAAATATCCGAAACCGGAACCGTCAGTTTCTCTTCAGCTGAGATTTGCATAATATTAATTAGTTCAATTAATTTTAAGTATATGTATTTAAAAATCATAAATATGCATGCGATTTTTTTTCCATTTTGTATTTTTGTAAGTCAGGCTATGATACCTGACTAAATTGTTGTTTAATACTTAAATTTAAGTCTCATTCACTTTACTTATCAATTGTTCACTTTACTTTATTCTTGTCGTTCCGTTCACCCTATACTTCTTAGACTTTTGAGTCACGAGTTCTGACTCCAGACTTTTCTTGAAGTTTTTTCAGTCTTGTTGTCTTCTTATGTTCCCTTCAATCTACTCTTCATCTGTTTGTTTCCTCCTTACATTTCCTTATTCTACTCTACTACTTTCACTTTACCCTCTTCACATGTTCCCTTCACCTTACTCCCTTCATGTTCCCTTCACCCTTCATTTCACTTCCTCCCTTTACCCTCTCTATTTTTCCCGCTCAAGAATAACACACGTAAAAAATATAAACTTTTAATAGTTTTTGGCGCAAAGCTTTACTCCATTTATTTATTTATACACACTCTATAACCTCTCATTTTTCAATCCTCCACGTCGCCGTCTAGACCATCCCCCCTTCCTTTCACATTTTTATTTTTTCGTCTCCAACGCCCTTTATTTTTTTACTATTTTTACGAAAAATGCTCTTAGCAGACGCTTGCCGGGGATTTTTTTATTTCCTTTTTTTGTTGTTTTTGCTTTTTTAACTCAAAACAACACAACTCTTTTCTGCTTAATAACGTGTGCAAGAGTTCATCCAAATGAAAAAAAATTTTTTTTCTTGACAGACCCAACTTTTTTTTTCTTTATTTTTCACTTTTTGTTTACCTCCTACTTAAATTCCTTCCTCCTTTTTTTCTAATTTTGTTTTGATTTTTGCTAAAAGAACTTGGTTCAATCCTCCCATTTTTTTTATCAGCTGTGATTTTTGCTTGATGGGTTTTAACTCTCTTTGGAAGATACGGACATTGGAGTCTTACTTTTAATGTAGGGTTGATTGGAGTTATTTTTAACCTTTGGAAAATTAATTTAATGGGAGATGGAATAGAACCATCAGGGAATTAGCCTAAACCAAAGCATAACAGACTGTGCCACTATCAAACCCAATACCAATTTAAAAATGTTAAATCTAAGTAAACTTCCGGAAAATAAAATATTTTCCGGTTACTACGAAGTTTATCAAAAATCAAGTTTCTGGATATAATTAACTTTTATCGGGTAGATCTGTCCAGAATCAAAGATTTTACATGACTCGAGACCAAAAAACCAACACTTGACACGACGACGAACCGAAAAACCCAAGAAAATTCTTGAGTTTATGACAAGTTTCTTGGACATCTTAATATCGGTTTCCTCTTTAGCCAAAACAAGAAAGTTCGGCTTGCAAAAATATCTTTAGTTATTCACCTCAATTCTACACCTAATTGTTATACTTTTAATTTTGAAATATAATAGAATTAAAATAAAAACTAATACTAAGTAAAAAGAATGGCTCCGTTTAAAAAACTATAGGATGGCTCCGTAAAAATGAAAAAAATATATAAATTCGCGATCAGAACATATCAGATTAAAAAGCATAACAAACTAACAATTGCTCTGAGCTGCTTTTTCTTTGCAGAAAAATTTTCTAAAATTTTTCTGCTTGTTCCTTTCATACTACCACGTTCCTTACACATTTCGTTTCCTTGTTCCCTTCAGCTTATGTTGCTGCTAAAAATCAGTTGGAACACCCAAAATGTTTTTATTCTCTCTCCTTCTTAGACAAACACACAAGATCCAAAATATAAAAAAATTTGAGAGGAGGAAGCAAATTTTCAAAAACAAACTTTTTTCACTCTCAATAGTCAGCATAGCATAATTTAGCCAACACTTCCTTTGCATTTCTTATTTTTTAATTTTTGTTGGATTTTTGTTTTCAATTTTTGTTTTTTGTAAATCGCGGAAATAAAGAAGAGTTTAATAAAGGCTCTCGGTTTTGTTTCTAACCTATCAGGTTGTCCGTAAATGAAAAAATGTCCGCAGTCCGCAAGTTCAAAAAACCACTCCAATTTTTGCAATCTGCAACCGCAATTGCGGACTGCCCTGTTAGAGCTTCTTAAAAGGAGTCTATGTATTTTTTTATCTTACTCTCTTTCGATTTCCGAATTTTTTGCATTTTTCAAACTTACTTAATTCGAAATGAATCTGAGGCACAGAGGTTTGGAAATAGTCACATCTTTTTTCCTGATCTCTGTGTACTTTAGGAATATCCTGATCTGCTACGTTAGTTCCACTCACTTTTGTTCAAAATTTCAATCTATGTATAGCCTTTAAATTAAAAAATATGCAAGTTACCCAAGTATTTTGATCAATCCATTTTGTCTACACAATATATATTATAGAAAAATTTTTTATTACCAAAAAATAATTTTTTTCTATACACCTTTAAAACATTACTCACACATTTCTTCCATTTTTTCTTCATTTTTCTTCTTATGATTTCTTCAACTATTTACGGAAGACCGATCTCTCTCCCTCCTTAAAACACACACAAAGTCCGTTGAACAAAGACCAGTCGAGACCAATTTTTTAATGTAAATATTTATTTTATATTTCACAATGCCCACAATCTTTCCATATAATTTTTAAAGTTTTCTTTTATTTTTTTAAAAGAAAATTAAAAATTAAAATACAAAAAAGATTAAATTTCAATTTAATTTCAATTTTTTGTTTTTCTCATTTTCTCTTCAACATTTAAGGAAAATAATTTATAGTCTTTCATCTTTTGAGTAGGTTTGTCGGTTCCTGAAAATTCTTCGGATATCCGAAAGCGAGCCGAATAACCGACCCTAAAAATATCGGTTCCTCTGTACGATTCGGTCCGATGACAACCGTACTTTTGAACCTATAGAAAAAATAAATTTTATAAGGCCTCTTGTTATAGATTTTCAAAATTTCCGTCTGCTGGACTTAAAAACGCGATTCACAACGATTTTTAAAATTATTTCAAAGACCTTTTCCGTCACCGAACAATTTTCACTACTTTAATAAAAATCTCGGTTCCTGATCACAATCAGTTCCTGAATTATCATTTTTACTCTCTTTATGTCAAAAAGCTTAACGATTTCATGAACCTCAAAACACTGAATTTGAACATTTATAAAAAAATTTTAGCTGAAACAGTTCAGCTTTCAAAAATAAAATCCCACTTTTTTTTCCCGCCTTTAACATGTTAACAAATCAAACTTTTATAAAAATTTATTTGATGAATTAAATATTGTGTAAACTACTTTCAAAATATTCCTAATACTTTATTTGATTAATTAAATATGGTGTAAACTCCGTTGAACACCAAAAATTTTATTAATACTTTGGCTGCCCCACCCATTTATTTTTTCATTTCTATTTGTTTCAATTTGTTCTTTTTATGCCAAATTATATTTTATATGAAAGAGCTTTTCGAGTTGATTCGGTTGAAACTAAAATCAACGTAATTTCAATTAAATTTTTATTTTAGTGACCGTTTATTTTAACAGCTTGTAACGGCACAAAAAGTTTTCCTACGAGGATTAAGCTTCATAATTTTGTTCATAATTATCAAACCTTGCCGATCTTTGTAACATTCGGCTCACCTCGAATCCTCTTTCAAAGATACATATATTCTAAATTATATGTCAAGCAAAAAAAAAATTCAATAGGGAGACAGAAACCCCCCCCCCCCGGTCAGCTAATTTTTTTGGTATGAATTAAAACTATGTTGAGACTGCTAATTAACCTAAGACAACGTGTAAAATTTTACGTTTAAAATCTTTAACATAGTTTAACTACTAATCCATTCAGGGATATGTTAACGAATGTAAACTCTCTACCAAATAATTTTAGCCGAAACTAGATTCGACTTTCAAAAATATGTATGATGGAATTTTGGCTTAACTCTTCGTGTATATTTCGATAGATCTAACATTTCTAAAACTCTATTTGATAAATTAAATATTATGCAAAATTTCTAATTTTTTTCGTTGTGCTTTTAAATCAGGCGTTTTTCTTTGATAGTTCACTTTGTGTAAAATTAAAAAATAGAATGCAAGCAAATAGCGCGATTTATAGCTTACCTCATTACTTAAAAAAATACAAACAAAACACAAAAAATACAAAAAATTTTATTTAACGTTATTTTAATTATGTCATCATTCCCTCTTTCCATTTTTAGAATCAAATTTCCTGAATTTCAAAGAAATTTTTTTTAATTTTTTTCAAAAATCCTTTTAAATATGTGTCATCCCTCCTCTTCCCTTTACCTTTCCTCTTCCCCTTTTCATAAATTTCAAAAAAAAAATTTTTTTAATCTTTGGTTTTGGTCTTTGGCCATTTTTCTATTTTTCTTTCTCACTAAGCTTCAACTCCCTTCCAATCAACAAAAAAACAAAAAAAATTTTTGGCCCTTAACTGTGTGGGCTTTGGACTGCTAGAGAGAGAGACTAATTTCTAATCCTTCTATTTACATCCACTTTTTGCTTTAAACATCATATTTTTAGTTGGTTACGTAGTCCGTGGGTGTATTCAAGTAATAAAAGAATAAATATATACAACTACATTTATTTTTATTTTTTTGTTTAAGCGGGATGGCGTCAACCACACAAACACTAACATTAAGGTTGGGGTCGTTTTGGCGCTGGGCGGTTTTGGCGCGCGATTAAATATTGACAGTTAGCAAAGGCTTAATTTTATAAAAATTTTCTCAAATTTTTCTGACTTTCCTTAACTAGCACCTTAAAAAATTTCAGAATTTTTAATTCGATATTCTTTAAGTTATGGTCGATAAACCAAATGAAATTAGCATTTTTGACATGTTTTGACAAAATTTCTAAAAAAATTAGCATAATAGCAATTATTTTATTATAGCAATTATTAATTTTTACGGTACACAACAATAACTTCGATAAGTATTGAAGCCAATGAGATATTTTTGTAAGCCAAATTATTTTGGCTAAAATCAATGTTTTAACCTATTTATCAGGGCTGGGCGTAATGAAAAAATAAAAAGCGAAATGCGAAACTTTTCGCGCCAAAAAATGCGAGAATGCGAAAGATATGAAACGCGAAAATGCGAAACACACACGCTGTTCTGTTGTGTTGTCCAAAATTTCCGAAACCATTGTTTAATCTGATAAACATACTAGTGTTATTAATCTAAAATTTTATCATTCTATCTTATTAAAACACTATTTTATAAGCTGACGCCAAAAATAACTCCGAGCCTAAACGACCTACTCCCTAACCTTTACGTTTTTTATATTTTTTTCTTTGGCCAGAGCCCAGCGATTACTAAAACTAACTACACAACTACCTTTTCCATATAATAAATACTTCGCCCAATTCCCTCTGTAAAATAAGAGAACAAAGATTAAAAACTCGAGAATTTTCCCCCTTTTTATAAAAAAATAAAAATTTATTTGCTTTACAGAGAGGAGTAATCCTTCCTTTAATTTTTATTTAATTTATTGCAAAAATTGGGGTGGTGACTGGACAAATAAAAAAATTAATTTTTATTTTTTTTATAATTTAAGAAAAAAAAATAATTAAATTTCATTGAATTTTTAATTTAAAATTTTGTATAAGGCATTACTTGCTTAATATGCAATTATTTAACATTTTTACAAGCTATGGGGGAGTTTGTAATTTTTATTTGGTCTAAGCATGTTCAGAATTAATATTTTACAATTCTGATAATTAAAATTCTGAATATTTAAATAAATTCTGATTTCTATTGAAATTCTGATTTTTTGTATTTCTGGTTTTGAATATTCTGATTTTAAAAATTTTGATTTTAATAATTCTGATTTTACGATTCTGATTTTTTACAAATTCTGATATATAAAATTCTGATTTTTGAAGGTTATTCTATTCTTAAATGAATTCTGATAAAATATTGAGTTTTGGTAAAATTCTGATTTTTTTACAAAGTCTGATATTCTTTGTTTCCGACTTCAAAATTCTGATTTCTAAAATTCTGACTTTCATAATTCTGATTTTCCCCATTTCTCAAATTCTTCACTTAATTTTTTTTAATTTTCTGATATTAAATAACATCATAACTAAATAAATATTAATTTTTGAACGTTTAAAGCATTCCAAGCATTTATAAATATAAAATCTTTCACACGTCAGTACATAAATTAATATTATTTTTTAACCTTCCGGAAATTACAAAATACATTCTCCAACTTAATTAATCATTTTCTTATTTTTACCTTTTTTTATAAAAAAAAAACAACAAAAATTTTGCTCTCTTCTCGATCTTTGCCCCAAAAATAGAAAAAATATTTTTAAACGAAAAAAGAGCAAAGAATTCTTTTAGTGTTTTTTTGGTTTTTATTATTATCGCGCAGTTCTCCCAACACTTTTTGTTTTTTATTTAATCTCTAACCAAATTTCCGTCTTTGCAAGGTTGTAGAATTTAATGGGAGGGGTGTGGGGTTATTGCTTGTTTTTTTTTCTATTTATTTTCTGTTAATTATTAGGTTGGGAATTATAAATATGCTATTTAAGGTAAATTTATATTGTTTTTATTTAAAGCTTACAATTCTGGTATTTATTCTGTTTTACAATTAGTTTTACAATTGTAATTAATATTCTGATTTTTTAATATTCTGATTTTAAATATTCTGGTTTTTTTAATCCTGGTCTTAATAAATTCTGATTTGTGCAATTTTTATCTTCAGTTAACTTTATTAAATTTATTAAATTCTGATTTTTATTCTGGTTTTATAATTCTGTTTTACAATTGTAATTTTTCTGTAAGAAAACAAATATTCTGACTTTATAATTCTGGTTTTTATTAAATTCTGATTTGTACAATTCTTATTTTCAGTTAACTCATATTTCTGAAATTCTGATTTTTAATTCTGATTTTGACTATTCTGATTTTCTAAATTTTGATAATTACAATTCTGAAATTTAATTAATTCTGATTTTTACAGGAGTAATTTTTACACTTCAAGTTTGGCTATAATTCTGATTTTACTTTAATTCTGATATTTTCCTCTTCTTTATTTCTGGTTTTTTAATTTCAATTTACAATTCTGTTATTATAATTCAACCTTTTTTACAAATTCTGATTTTTCTTCCTTCTACGTTTC